GGAGGCGGCGGTGGCGACCGATTGGACAACGGCCTCCACAAGGAGGTCTACCTTGTTTTCCTGCATGACGATCTTGTAGACGCTGCGCTTGCCGATCTCCTGCCGGGGGGGGGGGCAAGGGTGTACCGCCGCGGTGGAGACGTGATGCAGCTGTGTTTCCGTCGGCATCAACACACCTCATCTCGCCAGAAACAAACAAAAACAAAAATAACAATGGCCACCTTGCCGGTCAACAACAACAGCAGTAATGACAACAACAAACACAATCGACAGTTTGATCATCATCGACAGCAGCAACAACAACACAACAGCACCACCACCACCACCAACCTTGATCATGGTGCAACCGTCCACTACAGCCGCCCGCCTGGCTGTCTCCGTCCCGGGCGCCCCTCTCGCCCGGAGGCCCGCCACCACCACACCACCGTCCCCCTGATCCCCCTCAACAGCCGCCTCTTCAAGGAGCCACACAGGCAGCCACTCGTCGGTCGGGTGTTCCAAGCGCTGCTCGGCGTTTGCGGAAGTGCGCAATGGGCGTCAAAGAAACATTAACATTGCTGGTGCTTCCATGTCAGATGAACAATCAAGAACATACCCAACAGGACCCCCAAAGGCCTCCACTCCAACGGGACCCCCAAAGGCCAGCAACCAGTCATACAGTCGTCGTGCAACGCTTGGTTCGTCAACTTACCGAAAATTGTACGTGTTATCGCACCTCCGTGTTAGCGTTTATCAAAGCTCGATTGTTCCACACCTAGGAGGGTCCGAACACCAACCGATACCTCTCCCGACGTTTCCAAAACTACCCTTTTCGGAGGTGGTACACCTCCCATGGTTGTGGAGAAATACTCTATAGAAAAACGCTAACACGGGGGTGCGAGAACACGCACAATTACGGTGTGTGATCCCAAACAACGATGATGCGCATTAAGGCGCCCCTTGACCTCCAAAGGAGAGACGCCAAGGGCCCGCCATCACAACGGCTGCCGTTGTGTGATATGATGGTCCGCCATGATCGCGCTATCTTGGTTGGTGGTGGGCCGTTAGCGTAGCAGCCGGAGTGGGTGGGACCCCTAATGCCAAGGCGGGTCCTACTGCGCGTCTCGTTTGCAATTGTCGCTTTTATATTGTTGTCATAACTTCAGATATATCAGCGCTTACAGCATTCGTTCCGCGTACTCCAACCCGTGGTCACATGGGACCATGCAAGTTGAGCTCCAAGCGCTGTACGATTGGAGAGGTTGCTTGCTGGCCATACATCGGGGTTCCGTTCTCCCTCGTATCGATGAACTAGTGTCCATTCACGCACAAAAATGATCATATGTCTTCCCCCCAAAACATATAAGTTTAACTATTCTCGTGTAAAAACCGAACACACAGCACCGCAGGAGGGGGGGGAGGAGGGACAGGAGCCCTTCTGTGTGACCACGGGTTGGAGCAACTTCCTGCCGGCAGAAACGCTGCGAGCTGTGAGCGCTGAAATATTCAAGTAATGAGCGAAATATTAAAAAAAGAATCAATTATTACCCCATACCTCCGATGCCCCGACCTCTATGCATACTAGGAAATGTACATTGAATCACGCAGAGACAACCTCCATTTTTACCCCACACACCTCCGATACCCCGACCTGCTAGGAAACATACACACAATGAATCACAGACACTACCCGTTGGAGATCAACATAGGGATGCGTACAAGTACTTACAGTCGAAGTGTCGAGAGCAATGCATACACACGCACACTGTCCTTGAAATCGCACACGGCAAAAACTGTTCAAGTCACACATCCGTCACCTTCATCGGGAAAACGTTTGGGGCTATCCTACCACATCGTCCATCAGAGAGAGAGAGAGAGAGACACACCCAAACACAACATGAAAAAAACAATCAAGTCACACATTCGTTAATTTCATCGAGAAATACACGTCTGGAGCTATCCTACCATCTTCCACCAGAGACACAACCCTAACCCTTAGAGGCTATTCCGAGTCTCACCCTCATTGCTTCGAGGGACTTCTCGTCCGCCTCGGCTCTCCCTTCTTCGAACACCAGACGGAGCGCCGTTTGCTCTGCAAGGGAGCTCACGTGCCGGGGGCTCCTCGACGACTTGGCCACCTGATTAGATTAAATTCAAGAGATTCGACGGTTTGCCCCGAAGGAAATCGTCAAAAAGCGCGCAACCTGTTGGATGTAGGATAGACATGACATACTGCTGTGGATAGAGATGACATATTGCTGTGAGCAGAGATGACGTATTGCTGTGGATAGAGATGGCACATTGCTGTGGATAGACGTGACATATTGCGTTTGACGAACCCCGGAACGTAGGTTTCCGCAAACTTCCCCAATACCTTGCCACGACTTCGCAGTTTTTAGCGACCGACAAACGAACTTCGTGTGTACCTTCTACTGCCCCCCCCCCCCCCCAAAAATAAAAATAACAAAAAAAAAAAACCTCTTTCAAACATTTTTTTTCCCGGAATGGGCCAATAACCAAAACGGGGGCCCCGAACCCAAAAATTTTCACCCCCCCCCCTGGAATTCTGCCAAGGGAACAAAACAACCCCAAAGGGGACACCGGGCTTTTTTTTAAGGGAATCTTGAAAAAAAAACCCGGCCCCCAAACCGAAAAAAAAAAAAACCCCCAAAAAAAAAAAAAAACCCCCCCAAACCCAAAATTGCCCCAGCCCGGGAATAAAAAAAAAAAAAAATTTAAAAAAATTTTTAAAAAACCAAACCACCCCTGCTAAAAAAAGAAAATGTTTGGGGGAAAGAATCCCCCTCTCCCCTAAATGGTCCAAATGAACCGCCAACATTTCCCCCCCCCCCCACTGCAAAACCCTGGCAAAGAATTTCCCTCCCGGGTTGAA